AGCTGTCCTGTTAGGGGAATGAACATTCATATAGTTTACTGTTTCAAAGCAGAGCACTGGTTTTGGTAAAGAAACAAAGAAGTGTGATGATCAAGGGTTCTTCTTCTTTGCTTTCCTATTATTTACACGAAAAAAGATTCACCATCCTTCCAACAAAAACCACACTGGTTCAGCATCCTTTAGTCCCTTGATCCCGGTCCTGTAGTCTGAACGGTACAATAGCTCTTCTTCGGCAGCTTTGAGACTGATCTCAAACAATGTCTCAGTGGATAAAGTCATTTCATATCTGGAATGCTTATCAGTGTCTGAGGCCGCGCTGGTATTCAGTCACACTGAAGGATCGCAGCTCCCAGTTGTCAGCCTTTATCCCCTTCAGCTAGTGAATGAAGCCTTTCACGAGCCTCTCCAAGGGACTGCGGTGATTATATTACACAGATTTATACATCCAAGGACAAGCTTTATCTGACATGTTTTCAAGAGCACGGGCTCGCTGAATGAGCCGCTCTCAGAGCAGACACTAGGCGGATGAGAGAAATGTTAGACTGTAATTTAGCTCTGCTTCACAGACGGTCACACCGACGAGCTCTCTTCCCTTTTTCCCACAAAGACTTTGGCAGATGGAGGCGTCTTTGTCTCAGCAAGTTTTCAAACCTAGGGAAAAAAAAAAAAAAAAAGCCTTCCCTTCACCGTTTAATGAAGGCGAGCCACAACAGCGGTGTGGTAATGACCGGATTGTGTACAACATTATCCCTCCCCCCCCTGGACGGAGCCTTTGTATCCACCGCAAGCAGAGCTTCTCCCACCACAGAGCGAGGGAGGGGAGAGAAAACAAGCGCCCCTTTCCGACGCTAACTCAATAATGACTTCCCACGGGGGAAAGATAATACAGAGCTGTGTTTGAAGTGGCTCTACTGCAGGAGGCCCCTCTGCTCCAGCCTCGCTGCTGAATGCCCCCACATGGGTTTTATAGAGCCAGGGCCCATCACAGGATACCTATAGGCTCCCTCGGTCCTCGTCCTCATCAGCAAAGGTCACCATTGTATCTCTGTGTTCCCCTTTAAATCTCTGAAAACACAACAGGGTGGTTAGAGCAGTTAGCAGTGCACTTGTGCTCTGTTGCAAGTACCCGGTTCGATCGCCACAGCCTCAATTCTGGGTTTCTGAAAAAAACCTTTAGCCCCACACTGCTCCCCAGGCGCCGCACAATGGCAGCCTACGGCTCCCCAAGGGGATGGATTTAATGCCGAGAATGAATTTTCCCGTTGTGGGACAATAAAGGGATTTACATTTCTTATCTGAGATCATTCAGGTCAGCGATATTATAAAATCTTCAATTTGTTGCTGTTAGCATTTTGGAGAATTTCGCCTAGTGCCATTTATACTCCATCCAAATGTCTAAATATTAAGTTGGCATGAAAAATGGCAATCTGATCAGATTCTGATTGTTGCATTGCTCTCCCAGAGAAAAATAAATAAATAAATCTGCATTTGTGGAGCTAAGCCTGCAGAGATCATGTGACAGAGCAGAGGCTGCAGAAGGACATCAGGTCTCCCTGTTACACTGTGGCTGTTTGTTAGAAGGACATCACACAACCTAAACTACTGTTTTCCAAGCTCTGCATCAAATAAAAGATAGTTAAGTATTTAAACTCTCATAGAGGTCATTTAAATGTCTATACACAACCCACTACCACATTTGTCAGTTTAATTTACCAAAACCTGAGCTTATTTATAACACGTTAAAAAAATAACAATAGAAACTACTCAAATACTTGTTCGATTAACTGATTAATAAATCAGATGGCAAAAGGCACTTAAAAGGAGACTTTAATTTTAAAAAGCTTAAGCAATCCTACTTGAACAGTTCTGGATGGACAATGAAGAGGATTTTCCATCCTAAATAGAAGCTGTATATAAATCTATTGTACAGGTTTGGCTTAGGTACTGCACTGAGTTTGTTGGATTTTTACTATAAACCTTACAGTCTTGTCTACCAGTTTTATTCAATTACCAAACGATTTGACAATTATTACATTAATTAATCCAATTGTTTCAGTCCTACTAGAATCTAATTATATGTGGGAAAAAAAGCAACTTGTAAACAGCCAGATTATCTTTTCTGCTTTAGAATCCTCTAAAACATCTTCTATAAAGTGTGTGCTAGAACAAAGAGTGTTCTGGCCCCCGGCCTCCATCTCCTGTTTGCTTTCTTCTCCTTTCTCACTGTTCAAGAAGGGAAAAGGAATGTGTGTTGAAAAGAAACAAAGATGCAGAGGAAGAATGAGATCTGTTTACACGGTTCCCCTTTAGGTCTTAAGTGAATGTGCAGCGTCTACATGCTGCTTCCACAAACACCATTCACCAGAACAGGGGCCTCATTAGGACGGCCCTGTAATGAGGGGTGCTCAGCAGTGGGTTAATTGGGCCAAAGAGGGCAAGAGGTGTAGAGTGTGTGTGCATATGAATGGTAGAGGGAGAGTAGCCTGCACACACACACACACACACACTCCAGCTTGGCTCTCGCACACTTTCTCCAACCTTGAATGGACAGAGGCTGAATGGCGGTGACCCCCAGAGGTCACCCCTTGTAATCACTGCATGCTCTAACCGCAACGGGGGAGGAATGCAACCACTTTAGGTTTTTGGCAGCTCGACGGACTTTCCCAGCGTAAATAATGTGCAAGCGGGGGTCCTCCACACAATGTGATGCCATTACAGAGACGGGGCCCTTGTAGGAGGACGTTTATCAGAAAAACATCTCAAACTGTTAAGCTGCAGTGTTGGGACAGGAAGGTTGTTTAATGTACTCCCTAATGGGGGGGGGGGGATTCAGCCTTTCCTATTCTCTGGGGGGCTTCAGCTGTAGAGCTGCAGCCTGGGGTCTCTCTCTGGGCTTTACTGCAGTCTTTTTCAACTTTTCTAGTTTTTATCTTGCAGAATCAATTCAGACAAATTATGCTTGATCTGGAAACTGGTTTTATCCTCTGAGATTTTTCAGAGTCCACACAAAAAGCCCCCTGGAGACTCTGTGACAGATCAACAGAATTACATCGTTGGGAAGCAGATAGAAAAGGATTGTGTTGTTAAATAGTTTTTCTCAATACAAACCTTGAAAGTGGGTTGGTGTATATTTATTCACATCACCAGAATGAAAGCATTGCTTTATTTCCACAACATAATGCTGCCACCACCGTGTTTTACTCTTAAGATGTTGTTAAAGGGGGTTTGTGTTGCCATTATCTTTTCTTGTGTGATCTACCCACGTTCTCTGAATTAACTGAAAGGTCCAGAGAAATCAGAGGGTTTAAGTTAGAGAGACTAATACATTGGCCAGTCGATATTTTTGGATAATGTTGGCATTCCTTGCTTGTATCAGTTCGGAGGTTCACTGATTCATTAGTGCAATCAGCAGCAATACCTTGAGCTCAGGCATTGCTGATCCCTTCATTTGATATCCATGTTTCTTTAACTTGTTAATAAAATATTTTAACAGAGATTTTCTGTAACATTTGTTATGATTGTGTCAGTTTTATTATGGCCTAAAGCATCAACACACATCAGGGATCAGTTAAACGAATTAATAATCAACATCTGCCTTACATAAACCTGCATCTTTGGCTCTCTAGTTAGTTAATCATAATATGACAGCCGTGATCCAGCTCCAGGGATGCATATTCACCAGGTGAGTGCTGCGAGTTTTAAACAACCTATAATTGGTTCCTCAGTTTCAGCTGCAAGCTCATAAACCACATTCATTATATTTGATTGGCTTACGCCACTATTATGAAAGGAACTCTAGAGTTCTGCTTGTAGCTTTAAGTTCTGTTCTGGTCTCATCTGATCAGTGCAGCTTCTTCCACGTACTGCTGTGGTTTCCCTTAAATGAGTTGGAGACATTTCTAATAACACTTTTAATGCATTTCTTTTTATAAAAAGCTTTATATACAACTCAGATTTATAAAAACCCTTACTAATAGTTGCCAAGCCTGCAGATTCTGGATCTCTGCAGCTTTTACAGATCTGAGATCCAGATTCTGGTCTTTTTCACCTGTATCGGAGTAAAGGTGGGTGAATACATTATTTACCTACTCAAATTAACCGAAAATACACTTATTATAATAATGTTTTACCTATTTTTTTTTATTGAGCCAATATAAAATACACATGAATACAATTTCAGATGATTTCTGGACATTCCAAGATCCTCCGGATCTGATGTTGAGTAAAAAAAACAACCTGCTGTCCAATTGGAGCTTCTATATCTGTTGCTTTAAGATATGCTTTCCACTTCTATATAATCTAATCCTTTGTAATCCTTTGTATATAGTGTAGCAAAACATATCATTAGAGTTCAGTTCAATTCGTGTGAATCCCATTGCGAGACGTATCACCTCTGCATACTTTAGTTTGAAAACAATTTGTCTCTTTCAAGGTGTGAAGTGATGCCATCAGCTTCCATGAGTGCTGCCTGATTAGTTTCTTCTCTCTTTCTATTTGTAGCCCTGAACATCTGTTCTAATCTCCCTGTACGCAGAGGTGCATGTGTGTATGTGTGTTCCAGAGCGAGGGGGGTGGGGGGCGCCTCCGCTCTGTGTAATCCCTCACAGTCTCTTATCACCTTTCGCAGGGTGAGCGGCGGTTGGAGGAAGAAAAGATCCCGAGCCGCTTGTATCAGCAGAGCTCATCTTCTTACATTATTAAACATCCATATTTCCATATTTCATTGAGCCCCCGTCGCCTTTGCAAATCACAGGCTACTTAGCATTCATACAAGAATGGGATTTTCGTAATGGGTGTTAGATTTGTAGATGGTTATCCTGTGGGTATGTCTTTAGTGCGTGGAGCCAGTCGATAAGTCCGCCGCCGTGCTTCTCTTTGAGAGCCGCAGCGCTGATCAGTTTGTTGTTTGATGTCTCTTTTCTTCCTTCTTTGTCGCCGAAAAGCAGCAAAAAATACTTCTCTGCTTTTTAATAACTTCCCCTTTTCCTTATTAACCACAGGTCCAAGAAAGTGATGGAGATGGCCACCATGCTGCAACACGCCTCTCTTCAGAAGGAAGATTTGAAGCTGGAGCTTGATGATCTGGAGAGTGCAGCAAGAATGGTGGCGGAGGAACAGCGGCAAGACTCCGGTAGCAGCAGCAGCAGCAGCAGCAGCTCTTCCAGTGACGACACCAGTAGCAGCTCTTCCAGTGAGAGTGAGGAGTCTGAAGCTGAAGGACAAGGCTGCTCAGAATCCAAGCAGGGAGGAGGAGAGACATGCAAAGACAACCCCTCCCAGCCCCAGCCTACCTCCTCTAGCTCTCCCATCCCCCATACATCCTCTAGTTCACTCTCCTCATCGGAAAACAGGAAAGCGGACGCCTCTCGCTCAGCCTCACAGGGCTGCAGACAGCTGATCCAGGAGCTGGGGGATCAGATGACAGAGGAACTGAGGATCTCTGCAGACTCCAGCTCCGAAGCAGCGGAGGCAGAGGAGCCATCTGGCAGGGGTGGGAGCGGTGGGACGTTGTTAGAGCCGACTACTCGCAGAAACCCTCTGCTCATCGTTCAGACGCACCAGGATCAAGACTTTAAGACATAAAGTGATAAGGAACTTTAAATCTTTGGGATGAGTTTTGTGCCTTTGCAGAGACCAATATTTTTTAAATACATTTTTATTTTGGGCATGTTTTACTAAACATACTTTTATTGCAGTAATAAACCAACACTGTAACTAAGCATGTACGTAAAACTGTCTGTGCTTAGAAATAGAGATGCAACCTCTGCTTATTACTAATCCGTTCTTGGAAAGCTTTGTCTTACTGGTTCCAATTTTCAACTCGTTTAGCCTGATACAATTTGATCCCTGACTCTATTCTGATAAAGGAAGGAAAACCCTTTAAAAAAAAAAAAAACAGGACAACTGATGGAAGGAGGAGTTTGGTTTATTTTCCCTCTTGTTTTTGGATAAATGGATAATAAATATTTTTTCTTATAATGAATAAAAAAATATTGAGCAATGTTAGCTGTTAAACTCCCTGAGGTGGGGTGTTCTTATTTGTCCTGTCATGCAAAGGATTGTGGGATTTCCTATAGCTCCTTATAGGAGCCATGATGGGGTCCCTATGCTAAAGGACCTATCTATTGGTGTGTTTTGATCAGCTTTTTCTAATGCGCATTTTGAAATATCTCATGAGAACAACTTCAAGGAGATGATGGAAAAAAAACCTTCAATTCACAAAAAAGTTTTTACGTTCACTTGGGGTGGTTTCAGGTTTTGCGAAAAGGGCTGATGCTCAACCGGGAGATGGAAACCCTTTTTTTTTTATCAGTTCTGATGTTGCAAACTTTTACTCACATGACTGATCAGCTGTTTCTGTTGTTGGCGTCTTGCTGGATCTTCTCTTTTATGCGTGCAGACAAGGCTACAACATCACTATTACTAACTGAAATGTTAATGTAATAACTTCCCAGATAGCACCACATACATTAAAACTTTCATTACTGATCAGTGGTCAGGGCTACATTGCAGCCTCTAGTTACAGTTTACTACAGGATGGCAATATGCTTTGAGATATTTGTTTATTCACTTCAAACCAAATAGAAACAGCAAATTTACATTTCTTTTTATAATTTCGCTCAAAATTAGAATTTTTGTTGAATGGAAACATGGCTAATAGCAAGCCTTTAGCTTCTTTTTCTGTCCTACCTTATTGCCAGCACTATTCAGTTAGCACCTACCATGGTATTCACTGACACTCTTCTGCTTTTGATGGGTTATATTCACCTCAAGCCTCTGTGTTTGTTTTCTAGAAAATTTGGCACCAATTATTTCCAAATCCAACATGTTCAATGACAAAAGATTTGTTTTTTTTGAAGCAAAATAAAACAACTTTGCTGTTCTCCGTTCCACCTTTCTGTTACCTGCTTAAAGTCTTGCTCTCTTATAACGTCCATGAACCCTTGACAAATAATAGAAATTAGTTTCACATTAAATAATTTCTTTGTTGGTGGTTTGATATTGGAACTTTGACTCTATCTTCTGTAGTGACACACACTGAAGAGTGTTTTGGTCAGCCTCATCGTTGACACCTATATAAGGTTCACAGAGCAGAGACAAAGACCTGCTTATCTTTCAACCTGATTCATATTTTTTATGCCCACCCACCACCTCATGGATATCCCTGTTTTAGTATAACATGCAAGCTGCATCTCCAGGTTAAGGCCAATTTATGTTTGACGCATGGGCTCTGCAACCGTCAAATCTGTCTCTGTGCAAGACCACGCCCCTTGCGCAGAGGTTCTGCAACTGTCGTCACACACCTCAAAGAAAATCCTGACTACGCGTCGGACGGTTGCAAACCCACGCAGACCTCAAGCGGAAGTGCGCAGAAAGAAAGCAGCTGTGATTGGTCTTTGGTATGCCTTTCCGGCTGCCTGTATGGGTGTCCTTCTCGATTCGGTGCCGGGACGCGCCATTTTTAAAAACCGAGGAGCAACTAAAATGGACAACTACGACGAAAGGTTAATCGAGGAGGTTCATAAGAACGAACACATGTACGATGCCTCAGACAAATTATATAAAGATGCCAAGGTCTCTGTCAACTCCTGGAGGGAAATCAGCCAGATCCTTGAGCGGGATCCAAAGGATTGTTTACAAAGGTGGGATAGACTGAGAGATAAATACGTGAAGTTCTCATGAGTTCTCGAATAGGCTCCCCCTTGCACTTTGGCGGGAAACTGCTGTGCATCCCTTGAAATTCCAGACCGACGGTGCAGAAGCATACCAGCAAAACTGGTTCGCAACCAGACCCAAGCGACATTTGATGTGTGCGGTTGCAGAAGTCTAATCTGCCCTTTATATTTGATTAAACAACAGAAGCTGCTGCAGATGGTTTGAACACATTCTGCATTGCTTATTCATCTGTGCCACTCAACACTCCCAGCATGCAGCAGACTGAGCCACTTTAAAGGAGCCATTCTTTACCTAATAAATAGCAGGAAAAGCACTAAACCTTTCTTTAAGCCCTGGCATTGATTGAAGCGGGGAAGACTCTGTCTGCACTAAACAGGGGAGCGGAGCACGCCAGAGTGATTGATTCATCTGGTGCGAACGGAGAAGCGCAGCCGACACAGCTCAATATCATTGGCCGTGTCTAACAGGCGAGAGAAAACAAACAAGGAAACACATGTCAGGCAGATAGATGAGGGCTGCGAGAGAGGCGTTTGTTTGAGAGATAAGAGCACCCTGGGGTGGAGACAGCCGCCAGATAGGGTAGCAGAGGGCCAGCAGAGACACACTGACCAGCTCGGGGGGGGGGGGTTCTGTCTGATTTTATATATTCCCTTGTTTTCAGAGAAAACCTAAAGACATCGTTGACCAAAATTAGCAGAGGTTATTTCAGATCTTGTCATCCTAATAGGTTAAAAGTGGCTGAGGGAGTGAGTGGTGCTCCTAAGTATCCTTTCCTCCCTCCGGCTTTTCCAGTGTACCATCCAGGCTGAATGAAGGCAGTCGAAAGGTGATGATGAGTACTTGTTTCTGCTGCGTGGCTTTCCAGAGATGGATGCCATTTTTAAGCACTTCCCAAGAAGAGGCAGCCTCCACCCACCACCTCCTTGGGGTACGGCGCCATCATCACTGTGACTGAGATGGGTTATGTTATCGATGCAGGCCAATTTAAAACTCCTTTGTTCCGGGGACATGAGTCCTGGGACTATGCGCCCCCACAGGCAGTGGCTCACTCTCCCTGCTGGGGTTTCACATTGATTTAATGACAAGAGCCTCCGTTGTCGTTTTTCATCGTCCAAGTGGCTTCCATACTCCTCTGCTGCCGCCTGGGAGACTAACTCGCTGTCTGTGGCTGGTTTAGCAGAATCAGAGGCTTCCTTTTACAATTAATTCCCTTCGCTGACAGACATTTATAAAGAGGCTCCAGTTTAATGAACAGCGCTGATAGATTATACAAGACAATATTTGGCTAGAATTTGATTAATCAACCTCTCACTGATGTAGCAAGTGTCCCCTATTGACCCCGGAGGGTCTAGGAGACTGTTTCAGACTGATATGGGTCTTTTATTTTTTTACGAGCCCATTTATTTCAGCAGATGTTTAACAGTAATAAATGAGAGTCTATTAAGGCTGAAGCTGTAGAATTAGACATCAGAATGTGACATGGGCACAATTTCTCCTTCACATTTTGTGTGACTAAAGTCTAAGGGAAGCATAAAGTCCATTAATCAGCATGCACATTTCAAGATTTTTAGATGCTCTTAAAAAACATACAGAGCCAAACAAATCATTGTTTAGAATCCCCCAAATGTGGATCAGTCTTTATTACTGTTGCAGTCATATTTTCTTAGATGTGAAGTTATGTAATAAAAACAAAAAAAGTATTAAGTAATAAATATTCCTTTTATAGCTAATGCAAAATTAATGAAAAAGCTTACATTTAATTTGAATCCCAGTATATCAAATGTTCCTAGTTGAGTTGGCTAAACTATTAGGACCCGTTCCAGCACTTATAAAGCAGAGGTGTCCAAACTACATCCCGGGGGCTATTTTAGGGTTAGACCTTTAAATTGGTAGACATGTATCCCAGCAGCACAGGGGTTTGTTGCAGAACATTTAAAAAGGCATGATATTCGCTGTTAGCCTTGTAAACTAGCCCCACCCACCAGTGGCCAAAATAATTTTTGCCTGCGAGTGGTCTGGCTTCGATCAATGCCCCAGGCCCTAGAACTGGTGGACCAATCACAATGCAGAGATGTGTTTTTCTAATTTCTGGATGCAAAGCGGGCGGGATTTTGAGGGTGTGACGACAAAGCTGCGCGACACTGGAGAAAGCACAACAAGGAAGATGGCAACAACTACTGAACAGTTCTCGTTTGACTCAGATTTGGAATCAGTTTTGGAAGGATTAGACTTGGGGTTTTCGTTGAAACGTGAGCAGGAAGAGGCTCTACGCTCATTCATTTTTAAGAAGGACGTTTTCGTCGTTTGTTTACACTCCCCCACTAGCTTTCTGTCACACTTTCTACGTCACAGTCAGTTGCGCTCGTTGGTCAGAGCGTTTGCCAATAGGTACAGACAGCGGTTTGAAAAACAACGGGTTGTTCTCATCAACAATCTTCCAATGTCTGATTCATCGGGGCCAAATTACACGTTTAATCTCAAATTTAGTCTGGTTTATCAGGCTAATTCGCCGAACTTTCTTTTTTTTCTTAAAGAGGCATTACGGAGTTATATATTGATGCTGCCACCTGTGGCCAAAACACAGAACTGCAGGAACTTTTCTGCTCATTTATGTTGCTTGCACTCGTACTTGACAAGGTTTGATTTTTTACTTTTTTCACCTGGAGTTACCATTGGTGTCTGAGGTTACCTGGGTTCCGTCGCTTCTGAGTGTCCACAAAATCCATCTTCAATATAACTCTGCAATTGGAAAGTGGTGGTCTAGGGGTTAGAGCATTGCACCCCACTCCCACAGACTGCCACTCTGTGTCCCTGACCAAGACTCTTAAGCCCAATCTGTTCCCCGGGCACTGCACAGTGGCAGCCTTCTGCGCTTCAAAATAGTGGAAAGTTTATGGAGACCTCTAATTGATAATGGTAGACTTTGTGTGATAGCAAAAAAAAAAATTTTGACAGTTACAACCAAAATTTGCCTGTGTCTTTAGTTGCACATCCTCATTTGGTAGCAAGCTGGTTGAACTACTCACCTTCCTAATATTGCAAAGTCACCAGTTTTAAAAGTTGCCAGAAAAAAACCTAAACATCTTGGAATTTTTACTGGCACTAACTATATCTGCGTGCTTCTTTCAAAGTCAACTGAGTTGAGTTTTCATAGAAAAGCTCCTCAGATAGAAAATAACTTTAAACCAACCTTGTTCCATCATCGTCTCGGGTCCTGATTCAAATCTTAAAGAACCCATATGTGGTGAGTATGAGATTATAAAACAGTAGAATGATGAGCGCATATTAATTGTATCATTTCTTAAGATTTTTAAAGACATTCACCTGATGAAATGTGTAAACCATCTGTGCTGACTGAAATTAATAAGTTGTTTAATTTTACATGTTCATTGGTGTTAGGTCTAGTTCTGACCCTACCACAGTTGAATGCCTTCTGATCTGCCTGGTAGAATATAAACAAATGTTTACGTATTGTAAAAATATTAAGTTCTTCTCTTTGGTCACATTCTGTTACTAAAATCCTTGGGCCACCTATTCAACATAATCTTAAAAATGATCCATTGCTAGAGATCGAGATAGATCAAGGACCCATCAAGGACTCACGAATTGTCTGGAAATGAACTATCTGTATTTCTTTTAATGACCCTCATTGTCATTTCCAAGCTTCATAACACCAGAACATGTATTTGTGACCTTGCTCACCTCACTATGAATAGACATTTTACAGTCTTGTCATGGCACAATAATGGTTCCCTCGTCCTGTTTCTGTTTAAATTGGGAAAGGCAGCTCCAAGGACAGTGCCTCCACAGCCACCCTCCACTGGCCTGCTACGTTCAGCCTCTAGTTGATTGTAATAGAAAACTCAATCTCCTGGCCTTTCCTGAGAGGCAAAGTGATTCTGGTGCTTGAAAAGATTAATAGCCCTCAAGAAGAAATGAATCAGGTGCTCTTCAGGGCCTGACTCCTCAATGGGCGTGCCAATAGAAACCCTTTTGTGCACCATCTCCGTTGCCTCGGCTTATTCAGCACAGCCCCACTCTTGCCTTTTGTGGCCTCTGTGCTGTGTCGTGTCACTCCAGGCTGGACCGGCAAAGAGAAGAGGGGCGGCTTAGATACTAAGTGATAAGAGAAGCAGGTGGAGACATCCATCAGCTCAGTCTAAGGGCTTTGTTGCCAG